GGGGGGGAATAAGAGGAAAACATGATACATCAGTTCTTATTAAAATCTTTATTTGTTTTCTTTTTTGGAATTGAAACCCATAGAACACATTAGAAATTTAGGTGCACATCTGTCTTGTTTGGTGACTTACCAAGCACAACCTCTATTTGTGCAACGGCTCTGAGAGGAAATCCTTGGCAGATCAAAACAGTGTAAGAATCCTTGGTTCTTACACTTCTCGTTTAAGCAAATAAATTAGCTTCTCAGTAAGATATTCCCAGTTCCCCCAAACATTCTGTATTTGTAACACCTTAGTTCCTTAAAATCCTGTGGCAGTATAGGCCCCAGCCCCTACCTTTCAACCCAGACTTGAGGAATCGGGAGGAGAAAAACTGGCTTTCCCTGTACAAGAGGTTTTGTGAAGTCAGGTCTGTCTGGCTCATCCGTGTGCCGAGAGGGGCTGGCTCACCAGAGCTGTTCAGCAGGTGTTTGCTGAATGAAGGATCTTTATGCACGTAGGGTCCACGCTCAGAGACTGAGAAGAGAACCTTTTACTAGCTTCAAGTTCTTCAGCAACATAAATCAGTGTTTCCCTGTGTCAAAATAAATACATTTTTTCTTGCTAGAATACATATATGACTATATACATACATATACCTTTAACTCATGTTTCCTGAAGCTCAAGCTCCCAGGATGACTTAGAAGACAGCTCACTGACAGATGCTGTGTCACCATCACTGAGGTGTGGTCACTTACTGGTCAAACAAGAATACAGGGACCATCGAGAAGGGAGGTTGAAGGAATTTGGTGGATGGGAAGGGGAGGCCAAAAGCCTTTTGTTTTGTTTTGAGAAAAGATGGATTTCTTTGGAAGAACACTGGAAAAAAAATGTCATGTATAGGATTCATCTTTCCCAAAATATGTAGGGGATGGACCCAAATTCTCCCATTTCCTTCTTCAGTTTCATTTGACACATTAATCCTGAGTGCAAATGCCTTAGTAATATATTATTGAACAAATACTCTGAGCAAATCAGATCCTGTTCTGTAATTTGTTTTGCACAGAAAATTATTTATGGCCAAACCCACAATATAGACTCATATTAATAAGACCAGTTTTAGAATGAAACCTCTCTCCTCACATTTCTCCACTCAAACTCTGGAATAAACAAGTTTAAGTAGAAAGAGAAAAGGAAATAGCAGTAAGTTCTCACTTTCCCAGCTTTGTAATATTAAAACGCATCCATGTCTCCCTTTAGAAGTCAGCTAGACACACCCTAATTCGGGCTGGTCAAAAACTCTTCAAAGAATTGTCTGACTGTAACAGTGCTGGACTCTAATCAATAAGCCTCCAGGAAACAGTGTTAGAAAACTTTTGAAAAGATATTTACCTGTTTTTTCAAACAAAACTTAGTGTTTGTGAATTTCAGGGCTATATGTTTATGGTCAATTATCTCTAAGATTCACCCAAACAGACTTTTGTTGCTTAATCCAATCCTGACTTCAAACATAATTTATATTCTCAGTGTCATTTAATCAGCACGATGCTAACTTCAACCACTACAGACCTGAACACCTTATAAGAGCATGAATTTCCAAACAAAAGGAAAGAGAAGGAAAGTCTTCATTTTCAGCAGTATTTTAAGAAGGGATGAGGCAGTTTCAAAGCCACCTTCTCTCCTGCTCTTTTCCTTAGCAGAGTCTTCTGCCTACAACAATGTGAATCAAGCTCCCGGTGTGAGAGCAGCTCTTCTGCCTTCCACTGCAGCACATACTACGAGACATGTTGAGAGACCGCTAATCCATCCATTAGCTCGGCTCACATCCTTCCTTGCCTCCCGCCAGCTGGCCCGCGGACCGTGCGGGGTCAACTCTCTCCAAGGTACCCTCCAGCTCAACTGTGAATCTCTGGGCATCACACAGGCAACGGGCATACGACTGGAACCAATGCCGCCTTTTGTTAACACTAGTGTTTCTGCCTTCTTAAATTCAATACCTTTTTAAATAACTAAGCCCGTTCTTGTGTACATCTCAAAATGTACATACAAAGTACAAAAGTATCCTAATTTCATGCTCTTCTAAAGTAGTCACAGGATACTCGGTTATCTTTCAATGAGAGGATGTTGAGGCATAAATTCTGAACTGCTTTTGAAAGGGTGGTTGTTTAAAACTGGTCTCCAATGGCCAGCATTAAATTTGTTCAACCACACTGTTAAATGTTAGTTTCTGCTTGACAGAAGCACAGAACTGGAACAGCACCCAGACAACACATGGACAGCACACAGCACTGAGGTGACACAGAGTGACACGCCAGGCCTGCTGCCCCCTGGCCAATATTTGACTACAACTGCTTACGTGGCACCATCTCTCTGCCTAACCCAGAACTATGCCTGTGCTTTAGTGACCTGAAATTTGAGAATGCTAACAAGAGACGGAAGAACACCGGTTTGAAATTCCAAACAAGATTAAATGATGAAATTAGGGTTTGACATAAATCAAAATCTTAAGGCTCTTCCTGGCACAACCTCCTTAGTTTTAAGGCTCAGAAGGCTTACATCTTTGTTTCCAGTCACCCGCATGGCTCAAATCACAAGACAGGTCCAGCCACTAGCAAGATGTGCATGTTCATCTGTCGGAGTGAGCTGGCTCTTCTCACAAGAAAGGCACAGTCATGATTGCCAATCTCTTGGGAATAGCAGCTCCAAAGGCCTTGAAGGCCGAGGCGGAAATTCATCTCAGAAGAGAAACCAAGGTGGCAGAGGTCACAAGAAACCTAACCCTTATTCAATGTGTTATTTGTTTGCTTTGTTAATTTGGAAAGGATTTGTCTCCTTCGGACAAAATAAAAAAATAAAATCTCATAAGAGAATCATGCTTGTGTTGTGACAGTAAGTTCTCCAGAGACAATTTTTGGTTAATTTAAACACAACTGTGATAATGCCAACTTCACTTAGGGACAAGTCACGTTAGCTTTTACACACCTTAAGAGCTTCAGTAAAATCCAGGGGAACCTGCTTTAACTAATTCAGTCACTTCCCCAATTCTGATCACCTCCTCTCCCTTCTTCCTCCTCTAAGAAGCATTAAAGCACTACTGCCAACTGCTGAAAAGCCCAAACATCTCTCCTGCTTTTGGTCTTCCCTCTAAAACATACCCCCTCCAACAAGCCTGCTCCTTTGGCTCCACAGAATGCCAGCTTTTACTTGCTGCCACTCCTCAGGAGGCAGTGAAATTCCCAATTTGACAGTCCTGGTAAAAAAAGGACTCAAGAGATTGCAAAGTGTCCTCAGAAGATCCACAGGTGTGGTGAAAGGACTATACGGGTGAGCTCCAAATACCCCTCCGGAACCAGCCCCAGCATTAACCTCTCCAAACGTCACACCTGCTGTCCTTTGGCATGAGAATTAAGACTGACCAACTGCGATGCCACTGCTAGAATGGGCAAGGGCCGAGAACGTCAGGTGGCTCAGTGGGAACATTCCGTGGTCTGAAACTAACAGTTCGTGCTTCAGTTTCTACGACGGAAAACACCAAAGAAATCCGAGGCGACCCTGTCCCCTATCACCAGAACTTGCTGCTGGCCATTTCCAATCCATCTCATACCATTTGGAATTGATTGTGCTGTTTCTCTATCTTCGTAAAAACAAGTCTCAGTTATTCTGTGCTGCAAATTACAAGTGGGAGAGAGGCATCCTGTCTTCCACCAGCACAGTGTCCATCCCAAACTGGTCCGTGCACTGCTTTACGGTGGCCAGGACACTCAGGAGCCGCTGGTCCACAGCGTCCAGATGAGGGCTGGACAGCACTGGGGAGATGGGATCATGGGCCATGGCAGATTTTAAGGCAGACTTCAGCACACCATTCTTTAGGTAGTTCAGTCTGTTCCAGGTAGAAACCCGAATGCTGGAAAAAAAGGTTTTCGATGGGTTACATAAAATCTCTCACTACCGAATGGAGTTTAAAGCCTGCTTGGCACACAAAAGTAAAGAAATAATTATTTAAAATGACTCAACTAAAAAAAAAATCATTATGATTAAGTCACATTACCACATTTCGATACTTTTTCCAGGTAATTGAGAGATAATACAAAATTTATACATGTTCATTGAAGTGCTATTTATAACAGGAAAAATGTGAACCAATCTGAATGTCCAACAACTGGTAAATAGTTAAATCAGTTATAACTCATCCAGTCCAGGAAATACCATGCAGACATTAAAAGCAGTAAAGAAAATGTAGTGGCATGGGAAAATGTCCATGATGCTGGGTGGGGGAAAACTGGAGTAAAGAAGCTGTTTTACTCCACATCTGTGGGGAAAGAAAATGTGTGTGTAAGTACACCCACACACAAGAACACACAGACACACATGATTAGAAAGAAGTCACTACAGTGTTGATAGAACTTATCCTTACATCTTAACGGGCAATTTTATTTCCTTCTTTATACATTTCTGAATTTAAAAAATTTCTTACCATTAATATTATGAATAGGAAAATTTTATTGTAAGCACACCAATTTTCCTTATTTCACCAACTAAAAAGGATCTTCTATTTATCTCAGAAGAAAAGTAATTATCTGCCTGTGGGTACTGTGAGAATTTCTAGGTATGCAAAAAAGTTGGACTCTGAAAGAGGCAGCCTGTTTTGCAGCTATTTAAAAAAGCAAAGGAGCCCTGGCCAGTTTGGCTCAGTGGTTAGTGTCAGCCTGAGGACTGAAGGGTCCCGGGTTCGATTCAGGCCAAGGGCATGTACCTTGGTTGCAGGTTTGATCCCCGGTCCCCGGTCAGTCAGGGTGCGTGCAGGAGGCAACTAATAGATGCCTCTCTCTCACATTGATGTTTCTCTCTCCCTCTCGCTTCCACTCTCTCTGGAAAGCAATGGAAAAAATATCCTCTGGTGAGGATTTAAAAAAAAAAAAGCAAAGGATGGCTAAAGCATGGCAGGGATGAACAAGCACAGAAGCAGTGTGGTTTTGTATTTTAAAATACACTACAAGTGCCCTGAGCATCTGAGCTTCCCACGTGTGACTAAGGTATCACTCGAAATGACCTGCTATAACGGACAGGCTTCCTTTAAGCATCTCTCTCTCCTGAGCTTTCTCAGCAGAGGGCGCTCGAGGAACACTGCAGAAAGAAGGGGGTTCTCCAGGGCTTCAGGCTGCTGTGCAGTGGGTCAGTAGTGTGTGGGGTAGGCCATCAAATGCAGCTCTGCCCCAGCCACACTCCCAGAACGGGCAGGCCCTCTGTATGCCATGCTGACGGTTGTGGCCTGCCTGGACCCTGCCTACACTCTGGAGGGCTGCTTCTGCTCACCCGGCACCTGCAAACTCAGGGACTTCTCTGCCATCCAGTGGGCTGAAGTACAAAGGGGTCCCCTTCCACATTCATCCTTCCTTGGGTGCTCTCCCTCAGCCCTGTTTTCTTTTACAGTCACTCCTGCATCAGGGTTAATAATTCTTCATACTAAAGTTTCCCATTTAACCCACTATGTCTTTTCTATCTCCTGATGGGACCAGACTAAGAACACTAAGTATTAATATAAAAACATCTTCCTTGAAAGATGCAGTGTTTGATTGGATGTATCAATGCTTCCCAATACTAATGAAGAAAATTAAGGGTTGCCTGGGTAAACTTTCTGCAGAATAGTTTTGCGATTAAAAAAAGGAAAAAAATAAAGTACATTTAAAAAAACAGAATGAAAGAAAAGCAGAAAAAAGAGAAGCTGATCAGTTGCCAGGAGGCCAGTCTTACATGGTCCCAGGGACCCTGGGAGTTGACCAACAGGAAGGGGTGCTCCTGGGCTTGCATATCTGTGTGGGCTCCAGCTCATTCTCAGTGCTCACTTTAAAATTTTACCAGCAATCATGATCTGAAAAGGAGCTTCTTAGAGCCCAATTTTTATCTCATTTTCTTAATTTACTTTTTAATTTCTTTGTTCTCTAACATAGACTATTTTTTTAAAAAACATCAGTTGCTAAATACATAAGGGAAACATTACTTTTGGTTTATACAATTTCAAATTGGGATCTGTGACCCACAGGCTGTCTGTGGTGGTGAGAGGACTTGAAACCATAAGGTAAACACAGTACAGTGACCCAGGACACAGATTGTACTAGACTTTGGGGGAGCAGGGGACTATATCCTGATATTAAAACAAACATGGGAATACACTACTGAATAGACTGAAACCATCTATTCATACAAAACTCAAAATGAATTCTGAGTATTGGATTACCAGCCTCCACTTTTCCCTGATCCTCTATCTCAGGACCTTGAGGGGTTCTGGGTCGGAAAAGCATGATCAGGTATTAGGAAGATTTAAGGCCAAGAACACTCTGTACTGTTACATGAGCCTGGCATTTGATGTGCATAACTTACATGCAACACTGATAGAGAGGGGCAAGAATGCTTCTCTCGTCCAGCGAGGGGTTCCCAAAGCTGAAAATGAAATGAAATCTTGGTGAATTGGGTGGCAGCACCAGTTCCCTTCTTAGCATCAAAGCAAAAGCAAATTCTGTAAGAAACCCAAACGTGATCCTAAATAATTTCATGCTCCCACAGCTCAAGTCACTTAAATTAAAAATAAACAGGGCATGACCAATTAGACACAGATTCCTAGCAGCTTGTGCTGCAGCATCGAACAACAATTATCCATATTTGCAAGGACCCCCTCTCCTGACAAGAAACAGCAAGGTGCTGAGGCACAACCATGGTAACACAGACCAGAGTGAGAGCCTGAAGACCTCCAAACCTGGAAAAATGTTAAGTGTGGGCGGAGAAATACAAGCTATTCAACAAGCAGATGGTCATTACTTGCAAAAAGAAGTTACACTGTTCTACTCCAAAATTACCAATCAGAAAAGATTTGGACTGTCCTAGTCCCTACAAGTATATGGACAGATTCAAAACAGAAAAACGACTTGCAGAGGCTGAGAAGAAGTTAGTTGAAAGCAAATGTAAAAATGATCTCAGCAGTAGTTCTGAGTAAGACAAGGGGAACTGATTCTGGAAAAGCTGCTAACCTTCTCTTTTCCTGGAAGTTCGTTGTAATAGCTGAAGGGTCTGGCAGCCCGAAGCACAGTGCAGGCCTTCAAATAATAAATGGCAAAGGCAACTGTTTCAATGAATATTTCCATGATTCACATGATCTTTAAGAAAAGGATCATTTTTACAAGTAAGGATAAAGATTTTCAGGAATGTATACAGCACTGCTGGGAGAGGGAGAGGCAGTGTTTGCTAGCCTCTCACTTTCCATAACTGTCATCACCTTCCACAGAGCCTGTGGGGCCTGGTGCTGTGTAAGATGGTGGCATCATTAGCTAATGCTGCCCAAGCATTCTTTGCTGAGGACCCCCGTCTCAGCTTATTCTCAGCAACCAATGTTAACAGTTGTGACGTGGATAATTCTGGGTTCCAAAGAAGTATACTGTTTAGCAAACACTTAAGTGTAACAGAAAGTGTGGTACTGAACTGGGCACCATAGAGAATGTAGAGTGCAAGTTGAAAATACAATGTGTTCTTCAAAGAGCCCAGACTAAAAAATAAGGGCATTCATTCATTCAAAATTAATAAAATTATCTCATGGAAGATAAAAGTAACTTGTCTTTATATATAATCACTAAGCAACTACTCTTCCTCTCACGGTAGCAAAAAGTCTGGGCCTGGACTGCTATAAAAATATCAAGGCAGCCTGTCAAAAAAATTAATCTTTTAAAATGCATGAACCTTTGAATAAAATAAGTTCAGCAGTAATCAAATTTCATGTTACATTAACTATGTATATCTCAAGATTCTAAACATCACAGTCAAGAAAGGATGACGTGTGTAGTGACAAATCAAGGGCCTTGGTCTCCAGCTGTGAACAGCATCACAGTCTTTGACTCCTGGGAAAAACCACTTTTCCATTTTTAAAGTCCTCGGGTCCCTGAGGGTAGAAGGAGTGCAGACCTGAGCAAGATGGAAGAATGGGGTCGGGAACAGCGAGGACCCTGAGCAGAAACAGGGAAGATGCATCTGTCAAGTGTGTTCTGGATTTTGCCAGGATAGCCCAGAAAACGCCCTTCTTGTCTACACAGACACCCCTACCCGACAAGGGTAGTCCTGCTGGTCCTACCTTTTGGCATTATCGAGAAGGATAAGCATACTGGCACCCTCGTCGTCTTGGAAACTCTCATAGTGATGGCGGTCAGCATTGCCGATCAGGTAATCAAAGACAGCCGTGTCAATGATGTCCAGGAGACGCGGGCCAGAGTCATACGGGGATGTTTTCTTCACAGCGTCGCAGTAGCTCTCATCGTACTCCCACCTGGAGGCAAGCAGCATCCCCAAGGTTATTTACTGAGAGCCAACACTGTCCCTGGCATTGTCTAAACAGAGAGAAGACGAAGCCCCTGACTTGCAGGTTTGCCCCTGACCCTCCACTGTTCTCTTTAGTCTTGGACAGAACCCCTGGTTGCGTGCAGGCTGTCAGCAGGCCAGGCACAGGAGAGCATTAGTAGTGACTCACAGGAGAATTTACCTGGCCAGTTTGCCCTCTCGGTAAGTCCTGCCCCAGGGGTGTCGGTGTTTCTGCAAAGGCCACACATCTGGAAGCCAAAGTGTGACAGATCCCTCCATGGTGTCTCCGTCAGCACAAGCTGGCTCAGTCTCTCGGCAGTAATAACACTTCCCATAGAAACAAGTATTATTTCCTAGAGGAGAGAAAGGGGCCGAACACACTTAAGGGGAAAAAAAGGAAGGTTCCAAATTCTCCCCAGGACAATGGAGCAGAGAGCAGCTGGTAAACAGATTGTGAAAACCAAGATCCTGAACTTACATTTAACACTGTATAGGGAACAAAAGCACAAAGTGTAAAACAATTCAACAGGTACGAAAGGATACACATGAAAAAGTCAGTCTCCCTTTCTGTGTCCCTTCTTCCGTCTCTCTCCAAGAGCCTACTACTGTCACAAGTATCTTTCTGAACAAGGAAAGGAAAAGGAAAAGGAAAAGGAAAAGGAAAAGGAAAAGGAAAAGGAAAAGGAAAAGGAAAAGGAAAAGGAAAAGGAAAAGGAAAAGGAAAAGGAAAAGGAAAAGGAAAAGGAAAAGGAAAAGGAAA